ACGCTCTGGCAGATGCAGAATTTAACAGGATGGTTGAAAAGAGACAACTTTATCCTGCCTATACACTGGCGTGGAACTACTATTTTGAGGTTTTACAAGATCTTTTACCCATAGTCGATGATAGATTTACGGAAGAAAGAATTTCACATGAAGATGGAGAAGCAGGAACTGATGAAGAACAAACAGATAAAAGACCACCGAAAGAAGAGATTGTAACCGCAAAGAAACTGATTGTGATTGTTTCACACGACTGTAGAAGTTATGAAAAATTAGAAAAAGTTGATAAATGCATTCGAAAAGTAAAGGATGTCGAAAGCAATGGATACAGTGTTCCCCTTTATAGTCTGACATATGGAAATGTACAATACAGACTTCTCATTTTGTTTGCATCACAACCATTAAATACACTTCATGAGATGAGCGTTACAGAACGAATTGGATGTATAAAAGAAAAAAATCTTGAAGAACAGGTGAAAATTTTCTATGATACTTTACAAAACGAGATCCTTAGAGAACCATTGAACAAAGACTTCAAGGAAAGGAGCATTATTGTGCCAATTAAGACTGAGCACAAGAGAAGCTTAGCTAATGGTGGACTTGTTAAATTGATCATAGACTGGTTGAAACATAATGAATTCTCCATGGCATTAGAGATCCCCAAAACTTTGCAGTTGCACCAAAACCTCAAAGAATATTTTCTTCGCCAAAAATGGAGCTTAAAGTACAAGCCACTTCATCGCAGGAACAAGGTACTGCAGTTTGTACATTTGTATATATCTCCATTCCAAACTGTTTCAAGTTGTGCAAAAGTAATACATTTACAACATGAGTATGTTCCTACAGTCTTATTGAATGCATTACATGTCCATAAAATATGTCTAAAACATATTTCATGCTTTAAAAATTCTTCTTTCCCTATGTACATACAAAAGTTTTGTTCCGTCAGGGTATATATGTACAGGCCATTTTCAAAAGACTTCCCGTGCTTTTATTATGCCTTAAAGTGTGAGTATTATAAAAGGTCACCTTAATTAACGAGCGAAGCCAGCCCGTTTTTTTACTCTTACATTGCTAATATATTGCAGTGTCACTGATTAGTGTTCATTCACTTTAAAAACATTGTATGAAATCAATCTTTTGGAGAAATGAATAATAATTTTGCTGAAAATTATGCATTGCATGTAGATGTTAAGATAGAACTGGCTTCACTAATGACGCCGTGCACTTTATTTGTTTGTTTCTTTTATTTTTGTAATATAACTAGTATGTTTCATTTGTAATAACATCAGCGTTGTTGCAAGATTATGGAAATATTTTCAGATAAGTGTCGTAAAAACGCATCTACAGACGAAGAAGGACTTAATTCTTTATCGAAGAGTGAAAAGAATGAGTCCAAGATTGATGAGGAAAGAGATATGACCAACGAAAAAGCAATTGTCCATATCAATGCAAACAATGAAACAAGCGAAATTCATCCCCTTAAAGAAGAGTCTGATAACAATCTTGAACAAATAGAAAATTTGAACAGTTCATCTCCTTTGCTTTCCGTGCCTGAAGGCAACGTTCATAATTTTGAAGCAAAGAAACAAACCCAGCGTGGTCATTAGAATACCTGAAGAGGATGCAAAGTTTTTATAGACAACTGGCATTTATCGGTGATAGTTTGCAAACCCCCGAGGATGAAAAATTTTTGAATCACGATAGAACTGTAGAAGCTCAATAAAGGACTCCAAGGCACTATGTCCATATGCATATGTCAAATATCACAGGCCAAGTGCATGGAAAATGTCAACAAAGCAGCAATGCTGACGAATGTGATGTTTTGATGAAAAAGGTGTTCATAATTTATAAAAGAATATAGCTAGGTTTTTTAACAAACGGTACAGTTCCTGCAATTTCATCTTGTATAATCCATTATTCCTTTCATTTTATCTTGTATAATCCATAATTTCTTTCGTGCATGATCCTAAACGGTGAACCATAATTTATCATAATTTTGTGTCATACATGCATGTAATATAGATTTTACTTTAGCATTATCAAAACTTGTTCTCTGTGCAATAGTAAAAATTGCAGATAAACCCAAGTTGATATTTACATGATTTCAGAGTGAAATGGACGTTGATTCTTACTTAGGATTGAAACAGACGATGATACTTGTTCAAAAGAAAGGCAGTCTGTAAAATTCCTGCTTATCTCTTGCCTCTTGTAGTTTTGCTTTCAGTCACTCTACAAGACTCCTTTCCTTCGTCAGCCAATGAATAACTCTTTTAACTTCTCATCTCGTTCCCCAGAAATTGGCAGAAAATAATTTTTTTAAAGCTCATGTTGAAGCGTGACGATTTCATGCATGTCCTAAATAGTCCGTCAAAAAGACAAATTATTTGGGAAGGTATGCCTATAAAGTTTTTGGACAGCGGCTTTACAAGTTCCTTTCCTCGATATGATTGAAAGACCGAGAAAGCATAGACGTGTTGATGTTCCACACAAAAGAGGAAATTTTATTTATTCCAACAATAGCGACCATCGAAAGAAAGAAATGATTTTTACTATAATAAACTATAGTGAAGGTCTTTATAATTTCCTCAGTGTTATCGCTACTACATTTTACATTTTTTTGCTGGGCAACTGGAAAATGTCGTCGCGAACAAATTTTTTTTCCAGTTGAAGATTCTTGGGTTGTAAGCAAAGCATTTCAGTCTCTATTTAAATCTGTTTGGACGTTATAACAATTGATTATAAAATTGTTAATTCACGTCACAGCGACAGCTATGGAGTAGATGGAAACTTTGCACTGATATGAACATGTTGAAAAGCAAATGTTATTCATCTCATCATGGCTGCCGACGTTGAACATGGCGAGTTTTTTGTCGACAAGATTTTTCAAAGTTTTGCTTTGAACACATCATAAGTTCAGCGCTCAATTGTCTGTGCATGAATGAAGGTTGATTTCATTTCGTTTTGAAGAGTAAGATGGTACGAGACGCTATACATCTTTGTATGTTGGAATCCACAGTTAACCCAAAAGTTCCACGATTTCCCCAATTTCTTTCAAGATCATTTCCTCCATCTGTATCTTTGCAATCTGAATCAAAACAAAAAAACCTGCATAAAGCTTTTCTCCATAAATTATCAGTGGTAATAACATGATTATCAGTAAAGAGAAGTACCTGAAGATCTTCCATTATCTCTCCTTCTTCACGTTTCATTTTAAGTTTCTCAATCTGAACAAGTTTCTTCCTTAAACCACGAAGTCGTTTCTCTGATTTTCTCTCGACGTTTCCTGATTGTTTGTGAATGTTGAACTGGAATCTGTGTTGGTTTCAAAATCAGATCGTTCGACTTCCTCTTCTGGTCTACGTTAGAAAAAGTTATTGTCAGAGGGTACCATTTTATACAAACCGAAGATGGCCGCGAAACTTTCTTAAATTCAACACCTGTTTAGCCTGAAACTAAAGACGTTAGGTGATTTCGTTGCCTGAAATGAGTGGCGTAACTACACACGAGGGAGGGTGGGTGGGTGATGTAACATGGGTTAAGATAGTTGACGTGAAATCTCACTTGAACGTCCTTCTGACATCGTTGTTTAATGAGGCAGTTAAAACAAACGACGCTTAAGCCTAGCCACATTTCCAAGTGTTTGGATGTGCCAAACGCCCAGTCAATAATAAAATGCAATAAAGTAAATGGTTTGAACCGGGAGTATCGTTACATGTTTGTAGATGTAGATCGTCCAGGTTGGTATAGTCCTGAGAAGGACTGTTTTGACTCTGAAGATGACTACCGCTAAGGTTGTCGAAACGTCAGTCAACAACAACAAAACAGTCCTTCTCAGGACTATACCAACCTGGACGATCTTCATCTACAAACATTTAATAAAATGCAATCTCGCATTTTTTATAAAATACAGTTTTTGAATGCAAAGTTGCATCCATACTGCATCTAAGTAGCTATATGGAGGTGAGTTGTTTCAGAGCGGATGTAAATACTGGGAATACAACAGAATTGTGACCTTGTCACCTTGTGTAATTGTTATCAATGAAGTGTGACGGCGAAGGAAAGGTGATGATTCTTGCGTACAGTACGAAGGATTTATATAGTCAAGTGAACAACTGCCTTGTATATAAAACGTAAATCATGGGAGCACTAAACGTAGACCCTGAACAAGGAGTGGTGGAAAATCAATCTCAAACACAACATGAAGGAACATCAAAACCCACGCGTTCAGAACCCATAGCAAAGCGTCGTAAACCACAGTATTTGGCTTTAGTATTTTACATAGTTGTCGGTGTGGCTATGCTTGTGTATAGCTTAATAGAGAGAAGAAAGACAGAGTACACAGAATTAGCGGATTTCAGTAAGAATAGTATAGAAGCAATTAAGAATGGGACACGTATCGTCTATGTGAAAGGGGAAGAACATACTTATCCAATATTATTTAACATCGGAGTCGGATTATTATCTTCATCTTGGTAACGTTTTTCAATCGCATTATTCTGGTCATAGAAGAGCTTCGCCAGTTCCAAAGTCGTTATAAAAGGAACATTCGTAAACTCCTGGGTTCTTGTTTGAGCGGAACTTCCTGGAAAGGTGTTGTTGTGCTTTTGTTGCTTGGTGGTGCGTTAGTGTATGCTGGCCGAAAACTAGGCGGAAAAGAACCGCTGCACATAGAAGATGCCATTACTTTTGTGTGCGATCGGCGTTTATCCACTTTTGCTTGTTTACTTGATTTAAACGCTCTGGCAGATGCAGAATTTTCGGGAATGGTTGAAGAGAAAAAACTTTATCCTGCCTATACACTGGCGTGGAACTACTATTTTGAAGTTTTACAAAATCTTTTACCCATAGTCAATGAAAATTAACGGAAAATAACGTCCCATTTGAAGATAACGAAAATGAAGATGCGAAAACCGACAACAATAGAGAACACAAGGTAACCTTTGAAAAACTGATTTTGATTGTTTCACATGATTGCAGAACTTATGAAAACTTAGAAAACTTGATCCTTTCAACATTGTGAAATTACATGATGTTGAATGCAATGGATACAGTATTCCTCTTTATAAGATGAAGGATGACAGCGAGCAATATATACTTCCTGCATTGTATGTCACCCAACCATTGAAGACACTTCATGAGATGAGCACACATGGACGAATTGAATGTGTAAGTGATGAAAATCTTGAAGAACAAGTGAAACTTTTCTATAATACCCTGCAAAACGAAATCCTTTGCAAACCATTGAATGAAGACTTCAAGGAAAAATGCATAGTTTTGCCAATAAAGGCTGACCAAAAAAGAAACTTGGCGAAGGGAGGGCTTGTTAAATTGATCATAAAACGGTTGAAAGATGATGAAGATTCTGGTGGCAGTAAACATAATCAAAGCTTTGCTTCACCACCATCACGTTCAAAAACATTTAGTTCGCGAACAAAATCTTTCTCCCTGGAAAAAGGTACTGTAATTTGTACAGTTATGTACAAAATTAAATGGCAGCATTCTTATCATGATTATTATTCCATTTGGGTCATTTCAAATGTAGGTTGTTAAGTTCCTAACTTTATTTAGTGTCAGTTTTCTGTGTTTCCATTAAGCTGAAGTACCTATATTAGGGTCGGGGAAACACTTTCTTCAGAAAGTTGAATTGATTTTAAGAACATTTACAACATATTTGATAGGTGGAAAATTTTATGTTATTAGGCTTTTTAGGCTCAGACATATGTGACCCATTGTTGGAAGTAAAATACATTGGAGAACATGCTTGCTTCATAAAGTATAAACGCCTTATGATATTATAGAATTTCAGTGGGAAATAACATCTGAACAGTCACACTTTCAAATGTTTATTAAATTACTATAAACCTGTATCATAAAAGCTACATCTTCAATGCACGTGTTCACTAATATAAGTCACTTCTGGTGCTGAGTCATGTACTTCTAGCCTTGAAAGCCCGTGAAGAATACAATTTTTTAAATAGAAAATAATGCAAATGTTGTTATATAGCCAAGCCAGCAATTTATACTGCAGTGTTAATTTTGCTGCATTCTGCATCTGAAATTTACACAGCAGGACCAAAACTTGTGGGCTTGCTACGCTACTGTAACTATCTAATTAAATCATTTCCCTTTCCTTGATAAGCGCTTTAATTACTTGGTTTTGTGACACAACTGAAAGCATTACTATGGCAACTACATGTGAATTGTTACCAGTTGTCACCGCATGTGCACTAGGTAGGACTAAAACATGTTCTAGTATTCCATCATCCACAAATTCTTCTTGCCTATTGATTGCCCCTTCACTTGTTCTAATATCGCCCCTCCCAGTTATCAATAAATTACTGCACTGGCCATGTTTTAAAGACTTTCAGTGTTTTGAATACAGAGTATCAAGAAATTTACTGAATAATGACTTAATTGTTGGTAACATTTGTTGTATGTTGCTTTAGCAATTAGACGGTTGCCAAAAGAACAATCTGATGACAAAAATGGACGAATAGAAAATGCCAAAAGTATATCAAGCATTGGCAAGACTTCGGCACAAGTTCATTGTCCAAAACAGCCAACAAGCCATCATACCAAGTATGCCACTAAGAAAGTGCCTAAAGAGGATGCAATGTACGCTATGCCAGAAGAAACGGAAAATTATGATCCTTACAAAAAAGACGAAAAACAAGCGTTGATTAAAGATCAACATAAATATAATAGAGAAGAATACAAAAATGTTGATACCAAACAACAAAAGGCAATCATTCAAACGTGTGAAAGCAGCAAGAACTATAACAATCATCCCTTTGTTAGCAACCTCACTGAAGTTGAAAAAGGAACGTTAATTGAGGGAGAAGTACAAGAAAGTCAATATGAAGATGGCAAGGCCAAATATCAATATCCCAGACCAAGTGTTATAATGTCGACAAAGCAACATCGTCAACAAAATGCCAATGAATTGGATGAAGAAGGTTTTGATGAAGAAGGTTTTCATGAAGGTGCTTATCATTTATAAAAAATATCAATAATGCCTTAATGGCTTTTACTTACGGAGCAAATCCTGCCATTTTATCTTGCATAATCCATAATTCCTTTCGCAATCTGGCTGCTTGTGTATGATCCTTAAAGGCAAACCATAATTTATCACAATTGCATGTTATATTTGTAATGTAGATTATAGTTTATCAATCGTCAATAGCTATTTTGTGTATAGCTAATAGGACAAGTTGCGAATAAATTCTAGTTGATAAACTTTGGACATTACTGATTCGAAAGTTCCTATAAAATACCTGCTTATCTTTTGCCTCTTGCAGTTTTGCTTTCAGTTCTTCAACAGGATCTAACAATTTCATGTTTCCTGTGTGAGAATCCTTACTTTCATTCTTGAGACGATCAATCACACCATCTTCCTTCAACTTTAGAGCTCTTTCCTTGGCTCGCTTTTCTGCACGCTTTTGATTCTTTTTGCAGCCTTGCTCCCAACTTAATTCAAAACAGACGAGTGTTACTACTAATACAATAATAATAACCATTTGATATTTCTATGTAGTACACCAAACATTACCTAGACACCTGACGATCATAATTGTCAACCAAAATGTTCACAAACATTCAATTTTGAATAACAAGTAAAAATTGGTGACACAAAAACAAAAAGAAAATCACATTGAATTTTTAATCATGCTTAAGTTTAACATGTCATGAATGCCCTGATAATGATGATGAACTATTTGTGAAAATATGTTTATCATGTTGTTTGAACATAGAAGAACATATGAAGACAGACAAGTGTTTGAAATACACAAGTAATGTACACAAAAGGTAAAATCCTTTGGGGACAACAAAGTTTTCCAATCTGACCACCAACTCTGAACACTAGCTCGTGTTCACCAAAATTTTTACAATATAAAGATGCAGGCTAATTAGATGATTTAAATAAGTGTACACAATAGTACAAATCATGTACACTACAATACTTATTTGTGTGCACACATACAAATGCTACAAGTACTAGTGCAGTTTGTCAGACACTTTATCCAGGTAAAGACTTGAATTGCATGATTCTATATCCAACTGAAAACCTTATCTCAAACGTGAATGCACATTTGTTCCTAAGGTGATCATTGAATTGTACTTGTTCCAGTGGAAGTTGAAACGTTTTTGTGAAAATTGTTTATGACCAAATATCGCAGTGTATTGAAAGTTGTTTTACGTATATCAATAAAATAAGGAAACTAAAAATTAATCTGTCAGCAGTAACAGGTGGTTGGTTGGCAATGACCATTGAATTATGATTGAACTGGCACTGAGGCTGATGGAAAAGTATGAAAATTGAAAACTCTACCTGAAGACATGATGCCTCTTTTGAAAAACTATTACAACAAGGAGCACTTCAAGAAATAAAGAAGTATTTATCGATTTCAAGATAGTTAACCAACAAATTTTGCCATATTTATGCCCTATGTCCCGCTTTGTCCACTAAATTAAGATTACACCACATATATTTCCTCATCATCGGTAGTATCTCGTGGTTTCTTCGTGACCGTACGCCTTATGAACTATAATTATGTTTTATCTGGAGTATTATCAAAGGTCACGTGAACAAATCAAACAACAGCAATGTTTGCCACAGTTTCTAAAAACGATGTGAAAGCTTTTAAAGGAAAAGGATGCGGAAAACACTAAAAAAGCGGCGAAGCTGCCTTTGAAAATATTTACAACATATTTAAACGAAACGAACTTGAATAAACCGTCTGATAAAAACAAATTAGCGAAGGTTTGAAAAAATGTTTTATATTGGAAAACTTTAAATGTAATTGACAATATAGCAATTCATGATAATAGTAAGCTGTAAATTCACGTTACAACGACAGCTGTTGAGTACATGTAATCTTAGTTTACATTGTGCCTAGTGACGTTAAACATCGCGAGTTGTTTCGTCGACAAGATTTTTTAAAGTTTTGTCAACGAAAGATCATAAGTTAAGCATTCAATGCTATTCCTGTTTTCTGTCTGCCCATCAAGGTTAACTTCATTTCGTTTTGAGGTCTAAGATGGTAGAAGACGCCATTCATTTTATCTCTTAGAATCCACAATTAACCCAAAATTCCTCGATCTTCCAGATTTCTTTCGAGATCACTTCCTCTGTCTGTATCTTTGCAATCTAGATTAGAACAAACAAAAGTTGCATAAAGTCTCCCTTCGCAAATGATCAGTGATCAGTGGTAAAACATGGTTATAAGTAAATGAAAAAACCTGAACATTTTCCATTATTCTCCTTCTTCACGTTTCATTTTAAGTTTCTCAATTTGAACAAGTTTCTTTTTAAACCACGAAGTCGTTTCTCTGCTTTTTTCTTGACGTTTCCTTAGAATTTGTGAATGTAGAACAGGAATCTGTGTTACTTTCAAAAGCAGATCGTTCGAGTTTTTCTTCCGCTCTAAGTTAGAAAAAGTTATTGTCAGCTAAAATATCGTGCCTTTGTAAACAAATTTAGAACTTTTCAATCAGTATTTCGAATAGGGCACGAAAGTCTTGATCTACAACAACTACATGCTTCATCTACAGCTATAGAGGTTTGCAAGTGACGTCAAAATCTTGATCTACAACAACTACATGCTTCATCTACAGTTATAGAGTGTTTGCAAGTGACGTCAAAGCGCCATATTGAGGGAGTAAATTAAAGTGCCGATGGTCAACAGAGCCTGAAATCAACATAAACTCTTTTCACTATATGAAATTTTCCCCAGCATGGCGACTGATGAAAGCACGCTATACTGACTTTATTCACATTAATAACGAAGTGTCGTTTTGTTTGACGCCTTTTAAAAGAATGTGTTTTCAATTCTCCAATTTTCATTTGCATTAAAGTTTCAATCACCAACCATGCTTGTAGCATAACGTAATTTGAGGTTACATACGTTCCTTTACACAGGTCAGTATAGTTTTAAATTCCAAAGCACGAAACCTTTTGTTTTCATTGAGAGTCTTTCACTGATCATCAGAAATTTTAATAAAATCAATTGTGTTTTTTTAATGTACACCGTGAATGTTTAACGACATCAAAACTCAATGTTCTAAAGCTATTCCGACATCACTATTTACTTAATAAAACTTAAGGTGGTCATCACCCTTGAAACAATTTTTTTATTTTAAGTAAATTTAGGCAAAAATATCATTTTCTGAAAGGCATGGGTGATAGAAAATGACAAAAAGAAAATTTTTTTCACAAACTCGTTAATTAGCCTAATTATCCAAGATGGCGGCTGCTAATTAAGACTTAATTGTTTCACATTGAAAACATGATAACTCAAGAACCAGTGGTTAAAACAAAATAAACATATATTTTGAAAAGCTTAGAACCTGCTCTATTATGTGACAGTCTTTAATTTTCATTTAATATCTTAAATAAAATTTTAGAGGAAATTTAGAACATTTTCAATTATTGCACATTTTATTGCAAACATTTGAAAGAAATTTGGCTTTAATTCATTAAATATAAACAGCATTAAAAATTCAAGAGTGTCACATAATAGAGGATAATATAGTTAGTATATATGCCAAATATCAAGCCTCTGCATCAAATATTTACAAATTTATAGTGTCACAAAATCACTGACTATTGCAAAATGCAAAAAATGAGAAATCCAATGTAAAGTTTCATTCCAGTTCATCTACAACTTTGAAGGCTTAGAAGCTACCTGCTTCATAAGTTACCCTTCCAAGTACTCAGCATTGTTCAGAAACTTCTTTCTGAGATGCCCAGTGACTTCCTCCTACTTTCACTTGCTTGGAATTCTTTTGGACTGATAACTTTATCCTGGCTTTGTTGGAGTCTTATGGACCTTTGGTCAGTAAATACCCCAAGCATTATGTCTAAATCATGAAAAATGTTAATATAGAGATGTCTCCATCATTAAACTTCAACACTGCCAAATATGTTGCTAAAGAGACAGTTTCTTGCTCAACATATGTAGTCTTGGGAGATCTGTCCCAAATGAGTCCATTCAAACACTGCTCGATTCTGTGTCAATCCATGTGTACATTTCTTCAACAAATCTGGGTCAGTTAGATCATTGAATATTGGCTCAATCAGTCTCTACTATGGGCCCAGGGAATACCAGTCTTAGGTTGGTAGGTGGTGTGATCTCTTAGGTAGCCACACCAACTATCTTTCCTTTTGGACACAGGTGATGCTGAGGATTCTTCTCATGGAAAAGAGATGCCCTAGCAGCTTTGGCCATTTCTTCAACACTATTAAGGTTTCCCCTATTGCCAAACCATAATAGTTTCGAAGAATGTCCATCTTTTGCGTAGTTAGCCGACCTTTTCCAGACAAACCTTTACCATCCGAGAGTTTTCTCCCTTTGTTCGAGGTTTTTAGTTTCCGCAGTCTGCTTCCGAATGTAAGTTCATTGCTTTCCCACAGTCCGGACATTTCAGAATCTCATTTAAGACTATAAATATAACTGATAAGTCCATAAATATAGTACCTTCTGTTATAATAGTTGGAACAGCAAAATTTGCTGTCTGATTACCAATTTTCGCACCGGAAGATCCAACCTCTGTCACAAGGTTCGCCATTTTTGCATTTCGCCATTTTTCTCACCCGTTTTCTACCTCTATTTTGAGGATTTCCCATCATTTAACTTCAAATCCCCAACAAAATAACAAAACAATAGTTGGGAAATAAAAGCAGCAAATTTAGCACTTGAAATGTTACAAAAACTAAGAAATTTTAGACAACTTCGCCAGAAATGCAAACGCATCGATCTCGAGACAGACAAAGACTTTCATTGCCATGGTTCCAAAGGAACAATTAGAATACAGTTATGTCAAAGACTCTGAATTCCATGCACTAAAAAGGAGAAACAAAAATGACAATTTTTTGACCAATATTTCGACCAAATTTTGAGGAAATCTCAACCTAAATGCGTTGCTAGGCCGTTGCTATGGAGTAAATTTTTAAACAACATAGCTTTGAAATTAAATAGTTAAGGCTCCCTAAAAATAATTTTTTTTTGAAAATTTGGTCAAAATACAGTTTATAAGAGGTGATAAAGACATGTTGAACTTGGTCAACAATCACCAACCATGCTAGTAGCATAACGTAATTTGAGGTTACATACGTTCCTTTACACAGGTCAGTATAGTTTAAATTCCAAAGCAGTCCACACACATTAAATTAATAAAATAGATTAAGTGCGAACAACTTGTTGGCAACAAATTTTCAAGATTTACATAAGTAAATCATGACAGGAAAAACAAGGATTCCGAACAAGGAATGGTAGACGACAATACTCTAACACATAAAGAAGAAACAGAGAAGCCACCTATTCAGAACCTGTCGCGAGAAAGCGAGGAAAAATGTTTGTCTCTTGTATTATGTATAATTGCAGGTATAGGAATGCTTGTGTACAGCTTTTATTACAAAGAGAGCACAGCGTATACAGAATTAAAGGATATCACTGAAAATACTTAAAAGCAATTAAAATGGCACACTTGTCGTCTATGTTGAGGAAAAGAAGATACGTATCCAGTGCTGTTCGACGTTGGTGTCGGATTGCTATCCTACATTTTGGCAACGTTGGTCAATCGTGTTATTCAGGTAGTGGAAGAGTTTCCCATTTTCGAAGTTGTTACAAAAGAACATTCGTAAAATTTATAGTTCTTGTTCATGTGGAATCTCGTTGGGTGGAGTTATAACTGCTTTGGTGCTAGGTTGTGCGTTCGTGGCTGTTGGTCGAATTTTGAGCGGAAAGGAACCAGCACATCGAAGATTTAATAACTTTCACTTGTGCATTGGCGTCTATCCACTTGTCGCTCATCTTCTAGGTTTAAATGCTCTGTCAGAAGCAGAATTCTCGAAAATAGTTGAAGAGGAACTTTATCCTGCCTATACACTGGCGTGGAACTACTATTTTGAAGTTTTGCAAAATCTCTTACCCATAGTCAATGAAAAATTTACAGAAGATTTGCAGAAGAAGCCACGTCGAGATAACGAAGATGCAGAAACTGACAAAAGACCAACAGAATGTAAAGAATACATAAACTCAAAAACTGATCCTGATTGTTCCACACAATTGCAGAACTCATCAAACTTAGAAGAAATCGATTCAAACTTTCAAAAACTACTTGATGTTAAAGGCAAGTCAAATTTGAAAAAGGACGATGTTGATGATGTTGAAGACAAGGGTACAGTGTTCCTCTTTATAATGTGATACACGGTAACAAACAATACAAACTTCTCCTGTTGTATGTCTCACAACCATTAAAGACACACTTTATAAGATGAGCGCTGAACGAAGTTAAATGTTTGACTGAAAATAATCTTGAAGAGCAAGTGGAACTTTTTGTAATACTCTTTACAAGAGGAAATCCTCAGTAAACCATTGAACTAAGACTTAAAGGAAAATGCATTGTTTTGCCAATAAAGGCTGACTATGAAAGAAGTTTGGGAAATGGAGGGTGAATCGATCAAAGTGCTTAAAACATGACTAAGATCCTAGTGGTAGAAAACATCCTCAACCCTTTGTCCCACCACCACCTCCACAAAAATTTCTTCACCAGCAAAACCTAAAGCAAAAAGACATCCCCACTAAAACAAGGTATATTATCTATGTTCAGTTATGTACTACATAACTGCTTTTGAGGTGTTGTGTTATGCAAACCTAACTCAACCTAGATAAGTAAATGATGGTAGGCTTATCAAGATTATTATTCCATTTATATCATTTTACGCCGTAAGTTGCAAAGTTCTTAATTCTATTAAGTGTCAGATTTCCATGTTTTCATTAATTTAACCAAAGTCTTTACTATTTTGTATTGTGCCAGAATTGAAACATCAAATGCTCACTTGTCACTAGCTCATTGTCTATGCATGCAAGATGTCTAAAAATATTCAACTTGGTAAGGTCTTTGCTTTTGATTCTCACTGCTCTAGTCACAGGCAGGCACCATGACTGTAAACACATACAAGATAACAATAGTTATTAATTTCTTACCCATTTTAAAGTTTGTGAGAATGAAGAAATTCATAAATGCTGAGTTTGCTTGATTTTTGTTAATATTTTCAGATGAATATTACCAAGAGACATCAACAAATAATGAAAAAGAACTCCTTGTTCGATCAAAGAGTGAAAAGAATTCAAAACATAATGCTACAAAGAAAATACAAGAAACGAAAGAAGTTAGAACAACAGAAAATGTTGCAACTAAAGAAGATACAATCACTCCAAAATGAAGTGGGCAACAACAGTGAAAATCATTCCTTAAATGAAGAACATGCTGATGAAAACATAAACAAACAGAAATGTAGAAAGTCGATCAAGCACTGGCAAGTCTTTGACTTTTCAACTGAAGCACAAGTTCATTGTCCAAAACAACCACAAGCCATTGAGTTCAATAATGTTGCCTGTTAAGAAGATGAAGGACGAAATGATTCAAGCTCAATACAAAACAACTCATGAAGATGAAAAAGAACAACACAATAATATTGACAACAGACAAAAGGCAAACATTAAAAACAATGAAAGCAATGAGAATGAGAACTCTAAAAAGTACCCCTTGTATAGAAGGCTCTCTGAAGTTGAAAAATGATCGTCGAGTGAGGAAGAAATTACAGAAGTTTAAGATCCATTTATAGTCTAACAATATCAAAGCAACATTGGTGACAAAATGCTGATAAAGTTCATGAAGAAGGTTTTGAAGAAGTTTTGAAGAAGGTTTTCATGGAGAAGATATTCATCATTTATAAAAAATATCAATAATGTCTTTACTAACAGAGCAAACCCTGCCATTTTATCTTGCATTATCCATAATTCCTCTTTGGTCTGGTTGCTAGTAAATGATCCTCAATGGTAAAGCACAATGTATCACAATAGCATTTCATATTTACAATATTGATTTCCTTTTATCCATTGTCAATAGTTATTTTGTAAAGCAAATAGGACAAATTGCAAATAAATTCTAGTTGATAAATTTTGGAGTGAAATGGATGATGATACTGGTTCAAAGGTTCTGATAAAATACCTGTATATCTTTTGCCTCTTGCAGTTTTGCTTTCAGTTGTTAGACAGGATCTAAAATTTCATGTTTCCTGTATGAGAATCCTTACTTTCATTCTTGAGTTGATCAATCACACTGTCTTCCTTCAACTTTAGAGCTCTTTCCTTGGCTTGCTTTCTGCATGTTTTGATTCTTTTTGCAGCCTTGCTCAACTTAATTCAAAACAGACGGAGTATTACTACTATACATAATAATAACAGCCATTTCATATTTCTATGTAGTACACCAAACATTACCTAGACACCTGAAGATCATAATTGTCAACCAAAATGTTCACAACCATTCAATTTTGAAAAGCAAGTAAAATTGGTGACACAAAACAAAACAAAATCACATTGACTTTTTAATCATGCTCAAGTTCAACATGTCATGAATGCTCTGTTAATGACAATGAACTATTTGGGAAAATATGTTTATCATGTGTTGTTTGAACATAGAAAACATATGAATACAGACAAGTGTTTGAAATGCACAAAGGAAAATCCTTTGAGGACAACAAACTTTTCCTATCCCATCACCAACTTTGAACACTAGCTCATGTTCACCAAAATTTTAAGCAAAGATGCAGGCTAATTAGATGATTTATAAGTGTACACAATAGTACAAAAATGTACACTACAGTACTTATTTATTTGTGTGCACATATACAAATGCTACAAGTACAAGTGCAGTTTGTCAGACACTTTATACAGGTAAAGACTTAAATTTCATGATTCTATAACCAACTGAAGCAAAAACCTTATCACAAACGTGAATGCACATTTGTTCCTAAGGTGATCATTGAATTGTACTTGTGCCAGTGGAAGTTGAAATGTTTTTGTAAAAATTGTTTATGACCAAACATTGCAGTGTATTGAAAGTGGTTTTACGTTGAACTGGCACTGAGGCTGATGGAAAAGTATGAAAATATAAAACTCTACCTGAAGACATGATGCCTCTTTGAAAACTATTATAACAAGGAGCACTTCAAGGAATAAAGAAGTATTTATCGATTTCAAGATAGTTAACCAACAAATTTTGCCATATATATGCCTATTTTATCCGCTTTGTCCACTAAATTTAGATTACACGTATACTGCCTCATCATCGGTAGTATCTCGTGGTTTCTTCGTGACCGTACGCCTTATGAACTATAATTATCTTTTATCTGGAGTATTATCAAAGGTCACGTGAACAAATCAAACAACAGCAATGTTTGCCACACACTCTGTAAAAACGATGTGAAAGCCTTTTAAAGGAAAAGGATGCGGAAAACACTAAAAAAGCGGCGAAGCTGGCTTTGAACACGTTTACAACATATTTAAACGAACGAACTTGAATAAACCGTCTGATAAAAACAAATTAGCGAAGGTTTGAAAATGTTTTATATTGGAAAACTTTAAATGTAAATGACATTATAGCAATTCATGATAATAGTAAGCTGTAAATTCACCTTACAACGACAGCTGTTGAGTACATGTAATCTTAGTATACATTGTGCCTAGTGACGTTAAACATCGCGTGTTGTTTCTTCGACAAGATTTTTTAAAGTTTTGTCGACGAAAGATCATAAGTTCAGCATTCAATGCTATGCCTGTTCTTTCTGTCTGTCCATGAAGGTTAACTTCATTTCGTTTTGAAGTCTAAGATTGTAGAAGACGCCATTCATCTTTATCTCTTAGAATCCACAATTAACCCAAAATTCTTCGATTTTCCCGATTTCTTTAAAGATCACTTCCTCTGTCTGTATCTTTGCAATCTAGATTAGAACAAACAAAAGCTGCATAAAGTCTCCCTTCACAAATGATCATTGATCAGTGGTAAAAACATGGTTATTAGTA